TATTATGGTGACTTTTGTGTTGCTGTGATGCTATAAGCTATATTACTGTTGTTTCCAGTGTCAGCAGGGTCTGAAAAAGTGGGCAGGCTACAGCTGTGTTTCCAGACTAAGAATAGATAAGGAAGAAGTAATAGGTTGCTCACTTTAAAGGAAGAAGCCACCAAAAATCATATGCATAGCTTTTAAACATTGTCAAATACTGAAGATCCTAATGAATTGAAGCAGAACCTTGTTGGAGGCAGTGCCAGAAGATGGGCCCCTTAGATCAGAAGACACTAAAAAGTGACTGGCAGGAACTGCATGATGGTGATCTGAATGGAGTAAAGTCTGTTGGAGGGGGAGCCTTTGGAATCTTCATTTGCTGTTAGGGCAAAACTCAAGGTAAGAAGAAACAGTTGCAAACATCTGCTAGTGATCAGAACTTGAATGCACGAAGTATGAATCTAGGAAAATTGGAAATTGCCAGAAAGAGCACACATAAAGATCAATGTTCTAGGAATAAATGAGCTGAATGAACTAGTATTCTGCATTTTAAATCAGAAAATCTTATGACTTACTATGCTGGGAATAACACAACAAAGATGAATGTATTTTCATTTATATTCAAAAGGACATTTCAAAATCAACCTTAAAGTATAGTGATAGGATTATATGTATCAGCCTTCCAGGAAATCCAATCTAAATATTATTCAAATAAATGCACCCACCATAAAAGTTAGTGGTGAAGTAATTGAAGAATTCCACCGATGTCTTCAGTTGGAACCTATTTAAACATGGAACCAAGATGCATTGATAATTATTGTCTATCAGAATACAAAAGTTGAAAACAAAGAGAAAGGAAAAACAATTGAAAAATACAGTCTTGGTATTAGCAATGAAGTTGGACTTGCATGGTAGAAATTTACAAGACCAATTTTTTCATAGAAAATATATTTTTTCACAAGCACAAATGGTGTGTATACACATGGACTTTTCCAAATGGACTACAGAAAAATAAAATTGATGACATCTGTGGGAAGAGATGATGGAGATCCGTAATATCAGCAGCCAATAATATCAAGACAGGGGCTGACGGTGGAAAAAAACATCAATTTCTCATACAGGTTGAAGCTGAAGAAAATGTAAACAAGTCTGTGTGGTAGTTATATAATTGTCAATTTTAGAGGATTCCGAGTGAAGAGGTGGAGTCTAGTCTGTCAATCAGATCATAGCCAATGAGGCTTCTGTGTGGGCATGGCCTTCTCCTGAGAATTCTGGGAAATCTGGTATTTCCTCCTTGCAGGTGGGAGACTCTGTGCACACACCCTGGGAGACATAGCAGCTGACAAGACACATGGACCCACCCTGATGCAGCCCTGTGTGCAGAGAGCCATGCAGAGACCCCTGCCAATGCTGAGATGTTTCCAATGCCACTGGGTCCACAGACTTTCTACCCACTAACCTGTGATCATCCTTCATTCAGCATCATGGCATGTATTTCATGAGTCTGAAGAGGACTTTATAGATTGGTATCAGACATTTGAGCTAATATCGGACTTATGGACTTGATCTGGACTGGGCTGGGATGTTTTCTCAGTGTTCAATTGCCCTTGAATATAAATCTCTTTCTTATACACATGTGTGTATCCATGGATTTGTTTCTCTAGTCTACCCAGGCCCAAAATATGACCTTGCGTTTATCTCATCTGAATTTTGAGAACATCTCAAGAACAGACTCACTGCACTGAACACTAATGACAGAAGACTTGATGGATGAGCTGTGGGAGGATACCAAAAACATCATTCATGAAGAAAGCAAAAGGTCATTAAAAAGATAGCATAGTAAGATCAAAGTGGGTGTCAGAAGATGCTCTGAAATTTGCTTTTAATTGTAGAGTAGATAAAGCAAATCGAAGAAATTATGAAGTCAAAGAACTGCATAGAAACTTTCAAAGGGCAGCTCAAGAGACAAAGTCATATATTATAATGGAATTTGTAAAGTCCTAGAATAAGAAAACCAGAAAGGAAGAACATGATCAGCATATCTTAAATTGAAAGAACTGAAGAAAAACATCAAGCCTCAAATTACAATACTAAAAGATTCTATGGGAAAAATATTGAATGATGCAGAAAGCATTAAAAGAAGATGGAAAGAATACAGAGTTGCCCAAAGTACAAAAAAGAACTAGTCAACACTACACCCTTTCAGGAGGAGACATATGAAGAAGAACCAATAGAGCTGAAGGAAGAAGTTCAAGCTGCACTAAAAGCATTCTCCCAAACAAGACTCCAGAATTTGTTGGAATAGCCAGAGAACTGTTTCAACAAGCTGTAGAAGCACTAGAAGCACTCATTCATCTATGACAGAAAATTTGAAATAGAGCCAGTTGGCCAACTGGCTGGAAGAATTCCCTATTTGTACTCATCCCAAAGAAAGTTGACCCAACAGAATGCTTAAATTAGAGACCAATATCATTAATATAACCTGCAAGTAAAATTTTGCTGAAGATCATCTAATGATGGTTGCAACAGTGCATTGGCAGGGAGCTGCCAGAGGTTCAGGCTGAATTCAGAAGAGGAAAGGGAAAAAGGGATATCATTGCTGATATCAGGGAAATTTTGGTTCAAAGTCGAGAGAATACAAGAGAGATGCTTACTTGGATTTTATTGACTACTCTAAGGCATTTGACTGTGTCTATCATAACAAACTATGGATAACCTTAAGAAGAATGGGGTGGTAGTTATATAGTCTTTTGTCAATTTGAGAGGATTGAGAGTGAAGGGGTGGATTCTAGCCTGTCAGTCAGGTCATAGCCAATGAGGCCTCTGTGTGGGCATGGCCTTCTGAGGATTCCTCCTTGGAGGCAGGAGACACACACTCTCTCTGCTTACTTTCTGGGAGACATTGCAGCTGACAAGACACATGGATACAGGCTGATGGCACCAGATCCTGGGAGCCAGAGAAGCCACATGGAGACATGCCAGTGCTGAGATGCTTACAACACTGCTGGATCCATAAGACTTCCCACCCACTGGCCTGTGATCATCCTGCATTTGGCGTCATTGCATGTGTTTTGTGAGGACTTTATAGATTGGTATTGGACATATGGGCTAGTATCCGATTTATGGACTTGATCTGGGCTGGGAGATTTTCTCAATGTTCAATTTCTCTTGTATACAAACCTTTTTTGGTATACACATGAGTGTCTATGAATTTGTTTCTTTAGTCTAATGGAACTTCCAGAATACTTCATTGTGCTCATATGGAACTTGTACATGGATCAGGAGGCAGTTGTGCAAACAGATTAAGGGAATAATACATGGTTTAAAATCAAGAAAAATGTGCATCAGGGTTGTATCCTCTCACCATACTTAATACAATCTGTATACTGAACAAATCATCAGAGAAGCTGGATTACATAAAGCATGTGGCATCAGGATCAGAGGAGGGCTTGTTAACAATTGTCAGTATGCAGATTATACAGTTTCGCTTGCTGAAATTGGGGCAGGCTTGAAGCATTAAATGAACATAAGGGTTGTAGCCTTCAATAAGGATTATGATTCAATATAAAGAAGACTCAAATCGTCACAAAAATTTGAGCATGGCAAGGACTTAGTCTTGCTTTGAGCTACAATCAATGCTCATAGAAACAGCCATCAAGAGATTAAAAGACAAGTTGCATTTGGTAAATCTGATGCACAAGACCTTGTCAGAGTAGAGAAAAGCAAGGGTGTTACATTGAGGACTAAGGTGTACCTGACCCAAGCCATGGTATTTTCAATGGCTTCTTATGCTTGTGAAAGTCAGACGTTAAATAAAGAAGACCAAAGGAGTATCAAAACATTTGAGTTATGGTGCTGGAGCAAAATATGGAAAGTACGATAGACTGCTAAAAGGACAAGCACTGTCTTGGAAAAAGTAAGGCCAGAGGGTACTTTAGAAGCAAGGATGACTAGACTGCATCTTACCTACACTGGACTTATTATCAGGAGAGGCAAGCCCCCAGAGAAGGTCTTCGGGCTTGGTGAAGTGGAGGGGCAGTGAAAAAGAGGACGATTCTCAATGAGATGGGTCAGCACAGTGCCTGCAATAACGGGCTCAGGCATAGAAGCAATGGTGAGGATGGTGCAGGACTGGACAGTGTTTTGTTGGTAAAGTGTTGCTATGGGTTTGAACTGACTTGATGGCACCTAACACCAATAATAATACACAAAGTCACGGCGTCAGAAATAATTGGGTGTCAGAAATAATTAGTCGAAGCTCAAATATTTCAGGTGTTGCATGTGATTCAAACTTGATAGTACTGTAAGAAGAAGTCTAAGTGTTATGAAAGCCATTGTTGAAAATGACTACGGACATAGATGGGATACCAACTGAAATGCTTTCACAAATAGATATGATCACAAAAGAGGTCACTAATTTATACTAAGAAACATGAAAGACAACTACACGCCCAACTGACTAGACAGGGTTCATGTTCCTACTCATTTGAATGAAAGGTATTGCAACAGAATGTGGATGTGT